CTGGATTTTTAAGAAAGCAAATATGGGTTTGGAATATAGTTAAGTGCTAAGATGGCCTAACATGCTCAAGGTCCTGGGTTCGACTCCCAGCACCATAAACTGAACAGACACCCACATTTGAACAAAAGGCAGGTCTAGTGGTCCACGTGTTTAACACTTCTTGGATCCATGGGCATTCCTTGTCTGGTGGTTAATATGTGCGGGCTCACCTGAGCCATCTTCATTTCCTGAAGTCGTGCTATTTACATATTCAATTTCCTTTTTCACTCAAATGGCAGCGATTCCATACATTCTAGTCTGCACCTGGCTTTTAAAAATTGTGGGGAGATTTGCACTGCATCAAATTCAGCATTCCAACACTTTAAAGTGTGCGTCTGGGGCTGTGAAGACAGGCGAGGTGCTGCGGAGCTCTGCCACCACCCACTGCAGGGTCTTTTAGCATCCAAGCAGGAGCCCTGTGCCTGTTAAACTCTGCTCCCAGCCCTGGGAACTGCTCTGCATTCCATCTCTACACTGGCCTGCCCGAAGGAGCTCATGTAAGTGGAACCATGAAGTCTTTGCCGCTGTGACTGGCTTATTTAGCTAGTGTTCCTAAGGTGTCACCCATGGTGAAGCGTGTTTCAGAACCTCATTCATTTTCTAGGCTGAGTAATATTCCATTGCATGTGTAGGCTGCATTTGTCACCTGCTGTGGGTGGACACGGGGTTGCTCCTACCTTTGACTGCCACGAGTGCTGCTGCCCTGAGTGTAGGTGGCGTGTATCTGAGCCCCACCTGCTATTCTTCTGTGCATGCCCAAGAGGGTTGCAGGGTCACGAGGTGCCTCTGTCACCTCTTGAGGAACTGCATGCTGTCTTCCCCACAGGGCACCTTTTGCACTGCCACAGCAGCGCCTGCCTCCACCTCATTTTGTATTTTCAATTTCTGTTTTTTCTTTGCCCTTTTTTGCCTGAAGCTTCTGCCCAATGGCAAAGTGGAGGGAAGGAGAGGGAGAGTGGTGGGGGGACTGCCCCAGAGCACAGGTGGGCAGGGCCTGGTCCCAGCAGGCAGGCGGCTGTGCTTGCTCACTCACTGTCACCGCACAAGCACTTTGCAGAGCCTGTGATTCAGGAACAGGGAGAGAGCAGGGGGGCGAGACAGCTGCAGCCCTGCCGCCCAGCAGTCAGTGTCTAGCTGGGGAGGCCTTTGTGAGCACGAGCACCTCAGGGACGGTGGCTGGGCAGTGCAGCCAGGGAGGCTCGCTAAGGAGATGTGTCGGCAGAGGCCGAGTGAGGAGGCTGCTCAGGGCTGGGGGCAGGTCCAGCAGGCCAGCAGGGAGGTCACAGGAGGATTTGGTCACACGTGCTCAGGTTCCCAGCCAGGAGGTAGCTGGTGCCCCACTGTGGGAGTCCATGTAGCAGAGGAGTGCTCGAGGTCATAGGATCAAGAGTGAGTGGGGGAACAGATAGGGACGGCCACCTCTGTGCGTCTGGAGCCACGGGAGATTGGCAGGTTGGTAACAAAAGCTTAGACATCCCCAGCATGAAGTTGCGAGCTGTGTGGCAGGCAGGAGTGACATGGCTTGCACAAGCATGGAGTCCAGAGGCCAGCTGTGGAGGTGCGTTGATGACATCACTGTGGCCCTGCTGTGCCTCGGGAGGTAGCATCCCTGCGGGCACCACCTCCTCCCTGGGGTTCCTTCTGTTTGTCCTCGTTGGGGCTTGTTAGGTGCCATAAGGCTGAGGCCGGTGGCTTTGCATTCTGGAAGCTCAGGCTGTGCTCGCCCCATCTCCCCCTTCCTCCTCCCCAGGCGCCGTCCACCTGTCCACACCCCTCACCTCACTTAGTCTCTGCCCTTCGTGTTGCATCTGGATCTGACTTTTCCTTTTAGTATATTTGTTCTCACTCTTGGTTTAGTTATTGCGATCCGAACAGCACACGTGTGTGAAGAACCCAGATATGTACAAGGCTGGTGACAAAATCCAGTTGTTCTCTGATCATTGCTCCTTATTTTCTGCTTTCCAAGAACTTTCAACTCTTTTATCTGAATCTTTTAATATCTGCCCCATAAGTCTAAGTAACAGGCTGGACCTGCTGCTCCTGGCTCTGCAGCTGGGCGGGTTCTGTCGTCTGGCCCAGGAGGATGTGGACCCACCTCCTTCCTCCCCTCCTTCCTCTCTGCACTCCCACACAAACCCCCCAAACACAGGCTGCGCCAGGCCAGGGTGCACCTGTGAGCAGGAGGGAGTATTCCATGCTGCGAGGCCCTGGGTCCTGCTGGGACTTGGCCCATGTCCTTCCTGCACTTCTCTGCCTCGTCCATGGAGCTGGCGCTTCGCAGCACCTGGTCTCTGCAAGCTCAGCACGGAGTCTCCTCGCCCTTGGCCACAGCTGCCTCCTCCAGCTGCAGCTCCCTGAAGGTAGCTGGTGCCCCACTGTGGGAGTCCATGTAGCAGAGGAGTGCTGGAGGTCATAGGATCAAGAGCAAGTGGGGGAACAGCCTCTCCCTGGAGGACCCTCCACTCCCCTGCACCTGCACTGTTTCTACGCAAGCTTGCCTGCCCCACAGCATGAGCCAGTGTCAGAGCCCCAAACCAGGACCAGGGCACAGGTACCCCCCCCCCCCCCCCGCACGTCTTCTGCCACACCAGGAGGTCCCGGGGCTCCTCCCCATGTTCGGCTTCCTGGCTCCTGGGTCCTGTGTCTCCCTCCTGGGTCCCGGCCTTGTTGGGCCTGGGTGGCCATTCCTCAGGCCTCCGGCGTCTGACACCGTCCCAGTCTGTCTCCATGCTTAGAAGATGGCTGGGCTGGGAGCAGGTGGTCAGTCGGGGCCTTTCCCCAGCCTCCTGGGGGCCTGGCCACGCCTGCTGGGCCTGCCTCCTCTGTCTGAACCTCCTGCAAGGCCGCCAGCCTCACTCTTTCTGGAGCTGCACAGGCCTCTCTGTTCTGGGTGCAGGGAACCTCTGGACACTGCGCCCGTCTACGTCTGTCGTGCAGAGCCTAGGCCTGGCAGGCTCCCTTCCTCTCCACTCCTGCCCGCTCGACCCCTTCCCGCTCCCCTTCCTCTCTGGGTTTCTGGAATCCTGTCTGATGAGCCTTGGGCTTCTGGCCTGTCCCTGCCTCCTTTCCCTTACTGCTGTTTTCTTCTTCAGTCCTAGTTTCCACCCTTCCGTCGAGCTGTGCGTCTCCATGACTGCTCTTTATTTTCTAGATTTTAAAAATATACCATTCCTCTTAAGATCATTTGCTGGTTTAATGAATTCAAGGCCCCTCCCTCCCAGCCTCCTTGTCTCTGCTTCCGTGGCCTGTCTGTCCTCACAGTAGGGATGTCTGGGTCCCTCTGCTCATGGTGAGAGGGGCATCAGCGGCTGTGAGCCCTGGGGCCTGGCGGGGCTCACAGTGTTGCCTGGGGTGACTTCTTGGGAGCCTCAGTGTCAGCCTGCCTGGGCGTTTCCCCTGGGGCTGGGCGGAGCCCTCCAGGGCTAGAGGCCTGAGGCGGAGAGGGAAAAGGAAGCCGGCCCAATGTCAGTTTCTTCCTCCTGTGCCCCACAGCACCCTGCCTCCTGGCTTTACCCCAGAGAGCGAGGGGGTGGGGACAGGAGGGCTCTGGGGGCTCAGGGCAGAGTTCAGCCCAGCTCCACTGAGCCCAGTCACCTCCCCCGGCCCACCCCAGGAGCCCCACCAGCCCCTCCAGGGCTCCTGAGGCTGCTGCTCAGCTGTTCCCTGCTGCCTCTGCTTCCCCCCCTCCCTTCTCTCTGTCTTCCTGCAACACCTGCCTGTGCTCTTGGCCGCAGAGAGGCTCTGTGTCCCTTGTCCCCAGAAGGGACCATTCCCATTTTTGTGCAGCAAGTTAGTTTCTAAGTCACACCCCCCCCCCGGGGGAGGCCACCTTCCCAGGACCCTGTTTCCATGGGAGCCTGTGGCCCGTTGGACTTTTATATCCCAGCCTTTGCCTTCTCTCTCCTGCATGCCCAGGCCCTGGCCAGCCGAACTCTGGGTCACCTGAGACTGCAGGTGCCCCAGCACAGCCCCAGCCACTCCAGAGCTCACTAGAGTCACAGTCCTTGTCTTCTTGGCCTCGAGGGTTCTCCTTAACGCTCTTGCTGGGTTCACATGCATTTAAAAATACAGTTTAACAATATGAAGATAATACACGTAAAAGCACGATGCCTGGAATCCCGCCGCAGGGAAGCTGTGACAGCTGGTCCACCGCTGCTGGGCGCCTACGCAGTCCATGTTGATCTGCCGCAGCCCTGAGGCAAGGCTCCTTGGTCTCCATTCCACAGCTCGAGGCCCACAGAGAATGCCCCAGATCAGGTAGCTGAGGAGCTGGGGGCAGAGCTGATGGGAAACCTGAGCTGAAGAGCTTCTGAAGGAGTCCCGCCCCCGCCTTCGCTGGTCACGCTGAAGCCAGGGAGTGGCTGACGAGCTGGCCCACACCTCTCGAGGGTCAGCTGTGGGCAGGGCTGCAGGTCCTGGTCTCCATGCTGGTTGGATCCACTCTCCAGCCCCAGCACAGAACCTGATGATGTGCCACCACAGGCAGCCGCCCACCCCTCCTCCCGCTGCGCTTCCCGTCCGCAGTTCCTGGTTATGGATGTGGAATGAAGGGACGGAGCCCAGCTCAGGCTCCTCCTGTGGACTCTCACCCCCGCCTGCAGCCGGCAGATGGACCCAGAGGACTGGTGGCCAGACGGCTCTGTGTTATTTGGTGTTTCTCCTCCCCAACTCCCTGTGCTCCTGGGAAGGCGGCAGAGGGAATTGGGGGCCAGAAATGATTGACAAACACGCACCTTCCCGGAGCCCTCTTGCCTTGCAAAATCCTACGCTGTGATACTAATGGCTTTAACTCGTTTCTTTCTCCTGTGTTAGACATGGCAGAGCATCACCCCAGCCAATCTAGTTTCTGTAAAAAGGCGTTGGCATCCCCTAGGTCAGAGCCTGGCCACGGCCTGCACACGTGCGCTGCTTCTCACCACAGTGCACCTGTGCGCAGACTCACACTGCGGTTTTCTTCACAGGTACTGCGACTGCTTTGCCAGTGGGGACTTTTGTAACAATTGCAATTGTAACAACTGTTGCAACAATTTGAGACATGAAATTGAACGCTTTAAAGCCATTAAGGTAAGGCATCTTAAAAACATGTTTGAGACATTCCCGAAATGATTTGCAGAGATTCCTAATCTCAGGATTGGGAAACCCAGTGTGGGTCTCCTCTGCAGGCGGGTACCTGAGTCCTGGTCCTGGTTTGGGGCTCTGACACTGGCTCATGCTGTGGGGCAGGCAAGCTTGCGTAGAAACAGTGCAGGTGCAGGGGGGTGGAGGGCCCTCCTGGGAGAGGGCTGAGGAGCACCCTGGGCCCTCGCCTGTTTGTAAGTTTAATGCCCTCTGAAGGGCACATGTGACCTCCTGGGGCCCCAAACCCCCTGCTGCAGACGGTGGCCTGGTGTTTATCCCCATCTACAGACTCAGGTAATCAGGGGGACAGGAAGGACACCAGCTCTAGGAGCCACTTCCTGGGGAAATTGAGGTCCAGCCGCTGTGGCCTGGAGACCACCATGAGCCAGTGGAACAGATGGTACTCCTCAATAACTTGACTCCTCTCTTTGAGCTATGAATAAACCACCTAGAAATACCTTCCTGCTTCCAATCAGCCAAGTGTGTTGGACAGAAGATAACAAAGACACTTGTCAGCCTCAGGGTAGCCACGTGTAATTTAGAGATAAAGGACACCATCTACAATTAAAATGTAAAAAATTTACTTTGAACCTTGGATTTCTCAGGCATTGCTGATAGGAATGTGATTGTGATTTCCCACTTGGGAAATTGCTGGGCAGTATCTGGTGGAGCTGACCATCTGTATGGCCTGGCCTAGCCGTTTCCTTCAGGGAAATGTGTGTAAATGTCCACCCAAGACTTGCAGGAGCATCTCAGGGCAGCCTTACTCACAAATCCCAGCCTGGAAGCACTCTGACCCTCGAGGTGGACTCTACAGTGGAATACCACACACCGGTGGAAAGGCAGGGCACAGCTGAGGGCAGCGGCGATGCGTCCAGCTGGGGGCTGCACAGAGAAGCTGGGCATAAGAGGACGAAGCCCTGGTGAAGCCCAGCGCGAGCAGACAGAGCCGTCCAGCCAGAGAGCTTTGTCCTCTGCCAGGGTGCAGCAATGGGAACAGGGCAGCCTGCGACCTGGCTGGGTGGTGCACAGGTGGGTGCACAGGCCTGCGATGCCGCACCTGCAGAGATGTGCGCTGCTGTGCACTCTGGTCATGACCAAGATGCCTGTGTGAAGTCGCACGCTCCTGGGCGGTGCTGTGCAGTGGCCCGCCGCTGCCACACCAGGTGCTGGTGCCTTGTGTCCGACGCACCCAGGAGGGAGGGCACAAGGACCTCCGCTGCGACTTCTGTGGTGTCTGAGTGTTTGCGGAGAGCAACAATCACGCTCCTTTAAAAATACAAAGAGCCCAAGGTTGAGACCTGGGCTCTGGAGTGGGCCGGGACTTGGCCTGGCCTCCACACCTGCTGCGTGTTATTTACCTGCCCCGAGTCTCCTCTGCTTCATCTGCAAGAAAACAGCGGCGCCAGCATCTCCCTCCTGGTGCCGAGAGGTTCCAGAGAAACCAGAGCTCACGGACCCTGGTCCCTGTGGGGAGGAGCGGGGACGTGGCTTCCTGGCCTCTCTGCTGTCTGCGGGCGTGACTGTGAGGGCAGCGGGAGCCTGGGAAGCCCCCACAGAGGGAGATGCTGCAGCGGGGTCAGTGCCGGCGCCTGGCGGAGGCTTTCCTGACGGCGTCTCTGTCGTTTCTGTGGTAGGCTTGTCTGGACAGAAATCCTGAAGCGTTCCAACCAAAAATCGGGAAAGGAAAGCTGGGGGCCGCCAAGCCGCGGCACACCAAGGGCTGCAACTGCAAGCGGTCGGGCTGCCTGAAGAACTACTGCGAGTGCTACGAGGTGCGCGGCCGGGAAAAGAGAACTCCTGGCCTTTCCTTCCTGGGCCCTCGGGGGCCTCGCCGGGCATTCACCTGGGTGCCCCTGGGCTGTGTCCGCCCCATGCCCGCCTTGGGCTTTGTCCTCTGTGCCAACTGCTCCACGTGCTGGAGCACCCAGGGTCTGGCACTTGGTGGGTCCCGGGGTGCTGTGCCTCCTCCCCTGAGCACAGCGGGGGCCAGAGTGCTCCCGTGGGGCCTAGGGGATCCCCAGCTTCCATTGGTCAGGCGCACCGTCTGGGCTGGCTCTCCCTGGCTCTTAGTTCCCTCAGAGACCAGAACTGGACAGCCGGCTGACAGAGTGAGGCCCAGACACAAGCTCAAGAAGAACCCTCCTAATTCTGGAAAACGCTGAAAGATCCAAGTGGGCAGACCTAGCAGCCCCCAGCTAGGATTCTGAGAACCTGTCAGATGCTGCAGACATGGAGTGGCGCCATCCAGGGACTCCTCCCAGCCAAGTGCCCTCAGTGCCCACCACCTTCCCTCCGTTGACCCAGCCCACTCTCCATAGGCTGAGGCCATGCCAGAGAGTGGCCCACAGGCCATGCAGGCAAAGAAGGGATGGCACCGTCCTTCAGTGTCTGCCTAGTGCAGCCTCGACACCAGAAATCCTGCACACCATGCCCAGAGGTGGGGGAGGCGGCACAGGTGCCCTGCTGCAGCTCTGAGCAGCAGGGAGCACAGGGAGCTCAGGGCTGCACAGAGGAGGCTAAAAGCCAGGGGTCAGCTCAGCCTAAGGCTGCATGGGCAGGGAGATGGACCTGGAGGACACCCTCCTGGGCCTCACACCACCAGGAAGGACCAGACTCGGGGTGCACCCAGCAGCAAGCAGGACAGGTCTCCCCTGACCTCCCCTGCCCCGGTGGCTTTCTCACCCACTGACTCACCTTTGCACAGGAGCAGGGCCTGCCTCATGCCTTCCGTGTGAAGGGGAGGCTGTGGAGCTGGGGTGTCACCGACCAGCCAGACCAGGCTTTGTGCAAAGCAAGAGTCAGATGGAGAGCTGGGCTCGAGGTCACACCTGTGGTCCCAGTGTGTAGTCTCAGGAGGCTGAGACAGGAGGATTGCAAGTGTGAGGCCAGTCTGGGTAACTTAGTGAAGGCCCTGGAAAACTCAGATGGAGCCCTGCCGGGCTGCAGTGCAGAAAGGAGGGTGAGCCCCCACGGCGGCTGCACCTCAGTGTTCCCAGGCACAGCACCACAGCGCTCACTCCTCTTGGCATCTGTTGGGTTTTGGGTATGAAAATTGTGGATTGTACATGATCACATATAAGCAAAGAATTATTTAAAGTCCAAACAGAATTCGTCAGTTTTTGATAACTTATAGGACAACCCCATTTTATTGAAGCATTTTATGTTCCAGGCCAAGATTATGTGCTCTTCTATTTGCAAATGTGTCGGTTGCAAAAACTACGAGGAGAGCCCAGAGCGAAAGACGCTGACGAACATGCCAAGCTACGTGGAGATGGCGGATCTTGAAGGCAGCCATCATTTGTCACCAACTAAATTTTCAGGACTACCGAGGTTCAGAAAAGACAGGTAGGTACCCCGAACCCACAGGGTGGTGAGGTTAGTTGGGAGGACAGTGGAAAGCTGGGGAGGTGGGCGAGCGTCCGCAGGGCGGGCCTGGGGCGGGAGGAAGGGAGACGCCCACCCTAGAGGCCCACTAGGTTTCCTTGGAGGCCCTGCTGCCAAAACTGCTTGTCCTGCTTGTCCTCGTTGGAGGTGCCCTGTTCTGCACAAGGCAAAAGGCCTGGCCAGGGCCACCAGCAGGGCCAGCATCTCCCCTGGCCATGTGCCTGGACAGCAGAGGCGGGGACAGCAGAGGTGGTGTCCCCAAGCCCTGCCCAGCCCTCGTGTCCCACAGCGTAGCTCAGGAGCCCCTGGGTTGGGTGGTGGACCAAATTCTGAAAAAATACGGACTCTGTCAGGAGCGGGTGTGGGAGTGAGGCAGATTGGCCTGCCGGTGTTGCTCCTCCCAACTCGCCCTGTGCGTTGGCCAGAGGCAGCATGGGTTGCAGCAGGGACTTCAGGCTGGCAGGGCGAGCCACATTCTGCAGAGCAGGAAAGAGCTCAGACAGCCCCTGCCCTCCTCCTGCAGGCGGCTCTCCTCCTGCATCTCCTGGGAGGTGGTGGAGGCCACCTGCGCCTGCCTGCTGGCTCAGGGCGAGGAGGCGGAGAAGGAGCACTGCTCCGAGTGCCTGGCAGAGCAGATGATCCTGGAGGAATTCGGAAGATGTTTGTCGCAGATTCTCCGCATCGAGTTTAAGTCCAAGGGGTTGAAAATCGAGTCAAGTACCATGTAGTATAGCAAGCCCTGAGTGCATGCAAACACGTACCTCGGCGTTCTGAGGAAGCTCTGGTTCAGAAAGGGGGTTGGAGGAGCAAGAGGCCAGCCTGCGGCCACACGAGCCTAACAAAGCTGAGCTCTTAGCTGGGCGCAGTGACGCACGCCTGTCATCCCAGCAGCTTGGGAGGCTGAGGCAGGAGGATCACAGGTTCCAGCCAGCCTCAGCAACTTGGAGAGACCCTGTCTCAGAATAAAATAAAAAACAAAAAGGGCTGGGAATGTAGCTTAGTGGTAGAGCATCCCTGATACCAAAAGTAAATAAAATAAAACCTGACGGAGCTCTGGTCTGCACCAGGCCTGGAGAGTTGCCCGAGGTGCTCAGCAGGGCGCCTTGTTTGAGGAAGGCATGGCACAGGAGTCTTCTCTCCAGGGAGTGGGCTGCCCTGCAGGGAAAACCAGGGTGGTTTTGCTTTTTGTTTGTGTGTTTTGTTTTTCAAATGATTTAGAAGTAAATTCTCCAGAGAGCTGTTATGGTGTGACATACAGTTTCTGAGGAGCCACTGAGCACCTCAGAGCACATCTGCAGTGTGGAGGGTCCCCCAAGACTCACAGGGTCACCAGCCTTCCAATGCCACCAGGACCGACAGGTGGGGCCCACAGGCCAGGCTAGCAGCAGGAGGGCTGAGTCGCAGGACTTCAAATTGTATTTAGTTTCTCATACATTTCTACTTGAATTGAGGAAAAGCTCTATTATCCGATTAACTTCTCCAGAATGATTGTTATTATTAAATGTAAAACACGGCTAGAGTAATTAGTTTGCAGAAGCCAGCACATAAGATTGGTTATTATAATGACTCTTTTGGTTCTATTATAAACGTAAAGATTAATAAAAATTTCCAAAGTCTTCAATTGTCATATTTAACTTAGTAATTGAAAATACATGCATCTAAAAAATAGCCTCCCAAGACATAGTGAAGTCGGGTTCTTTCCTTTTCTGCGTTCTTTAGCTGCCTTTGTCACTTTGAATGCTAGGACACTCCGGTTGGCGCCACATAGTGGCAGTGGAGGAAGCTGGTGGCGGGGCCAGCCCGGGCACATCAGTGAGCCATGAGCAGAGCCTGGTTCTGACCCGGGCCGCCTCCTTTAAGCCCCCTTGGCCTCTTGGGATTGGGGCTCTGGCAGGGAGCCCTGGGTGAAGGCAGACGCAGGCGCCAGGAGCCTCCCCGCCCCACGGCCCCCAGTCTAAAGCAGCGAGGTGATTACACATAACCTGCACCTCGGTCCTCTCTAGGTCACTCCTAGAACAAGATGCAGCTTTGTCAACAGTTGTTGGTAGAGTGTAGTTTTTGTTTGCATTTTTAAATTCTTTAAACTATATTCAGTGTGCGTTGGTTGGGTCTGAGGTGCAGAAACAGAGTTCAGCACAGGGGACTGTCCCACAGGGCTGCAGCTGGCTCTCAGGTGTTTTCCCCAGGAAGTAAAGAAGTCACCTTCTGTGGCTCCTTTGAGACTGTCACCTCACCCATCTCTTTGCCACCACACCCCCACCAACCCTGGCCCCCCTTCCCTTGGCTGCCTCCTTCTGATTCCTAAAAGGAAGGAAGGGTCTGGAAGGGGAGAGGGAGGCCTCTGGACAGTGGGCACTACCAGGCCATCTGCCAGAGGCCTGCAGCTGGGGCTGGCAGGAGCTGGGCTGTGCAGGAATCCGGGCTGGGCCCAGTGGCTGACTCCCCAGGGAGCCAATGTGGTGAGGCAACAACCAGCCAACGGAGGTGGGTGACAAGCCTTCCATTAGGTGGCTGGGGACCTGCTGGGGACTGGGAGCAGGAAGGGTGTCCTTAACAAGGGGACTCTGGCTCAGAATCCTGGGGGTCCTCAAGAAGTTGGCCAGGCATCAGGAGGGCCGTGGGCACTGGCCTCCAGCAGGTGAGGTGGGGTAGCAGCTGCAGTGGGTCCTGGCCTGAGGGCTGAGCCAGGAGGCTGGGGGCAGCTCTGTGGTGACAGGCCCCTGCATGGCGTGGCAAGACACCAGACAGCACAGGCTGCAGCTGGGTGCTGAGAGGGCCAGCCCATGCTGTCCTGGACCAGCAGGGCAGCAGTGGCAGGTGTCCCCAGTAGCTGCTCAAGTTGGAGAGAATTAAATGTGAAGGAGAAGAAATGAGGCCCCACGTCCCTGTCCAGGCCTGGGTGTTGGGAGTGCACACCTGGTTGAAGTGCAGGAGCCTGGAGGTCGAAGGGTGGCTGAGGTCCTGGAGCACAGAGCAAGTGGGGGTGGGGAGCAGCTGGGATGGGACGGGCCAGGGGAGGGCGAGGGCAGGTCTGGAGTGCACAGGCTCGCTCCCAAGCCCACAGCAGCACGCTGCGCAGCCCTCCACGCAGATCCAGGTAGGGTCCACCCTCACACGTGGCCTCCAAGGCCTTCACGTGGGGGAGTCCCCAGGATGAATGCAGCAGTGGGTGAGCCACCAGGCCCTGGGGCTCCTCAGTCCCCTCCCACCCACCAGGCTACTAGGGCCTGAGTCCAGGGAAAGGCCCCTCCCAGCCTCCCAGCCTGCACGTTTGTCCTCCGAAGGTTCCTGGCCCTTCCTCTTGGCCTGTTTTCTTCCAGAACCTTCTGACAGGCTCCAGCTCTCCCCAGAGGCCCCATCCCGCCTCCCACACACTCTCCCACGCAGGGTCTCTCCCACATGACAATGAGCCAGGCAGGGGCAGAGCTGACACCCCTCACCCCTGCTGGCCGGCTGTCACCACACAGCACTGACAGCCACCCTGTCACCCTCATCCAACCTGGCCTGTCCCTAAATAGCAGCTCTTCAGGACGAGGGTTTGTGGGCTTGTGTTTTGTTCATCTCAGTAACGGACTTGTCTCCGTCATCATGTCTGACTCAGTACTAGGACATGCAATAGGGGGTGACGCAGAGATGCTCTCCACGCGGTGTCTGGGCTCTGGGGTTGTATCTGCTGCGCAGCGTGGGTAAAACAGAGACCAAAGCCCGCAAGAACCAGACGAGTGCAGTTGCTATTTTTTATTTTGTCGCTCAGAACAATTACCTAAACCAAATCATCTTAAATGATAGCAGCACAGCACAGAAGCGGAGCACAGAGTGGGTCACTCTGTACAAAAGGGCAGAGTTTCCTCATCTTCGAGGGTGACGGCGCCTCAGGACTGCTCTGAGTCTTCTGAGGAGACCTCCGGTGGGAGGCCGGTCAGGCTGTGGAGGGCTCCGGCCTCTGGAAAGGGAAGAAACACGCTCAGGCAGCGGGCAAGAGAGAACCGGCCTTGGCCACGGCAGGAAGGGCAGGAAGCCCTCTGTCTCCCACCTCTTCACGCCCGTGCTCAGAATGCATCTGAAAGTGTGCGGCTCTTAACTCAGGCTATAAAGAAGTATAATTCCTATCGGGTAATGGAAATCGATATCTCCTAACAAAGGACTTTCCATGTTACAAAATTAAAAGCAAAACAAACCAGAACGACGACATGCAGACCCTGCCTGCCCCTGGTGGGAGAAGCCAGGCTCCACAGGCTCCCCAGGCTCCCCAAGCCCCCTGGGCCCTACGGCGGGGCTGGCTGATGGCTTGGAGCCTGCAAACACCACACACCACTGAGTCCTCCTCCGCACGCTCCCTGTGCCTGGATGGTGCTAGGGAATGAGCAGCAGCCCCGACTTCCCCCTCTCCCCAGGCCTGCCGGAAGTCCTTCAGCCACACGGAGCAGAGAGGGCCCCCACACTGCACCCACAGCAGAACAACTGCAGAAGTCAACCACCAAACGTCCCTGTTGGAGACTCCGACAAAGTGGTCCATCCTCGTCCCCCACCAGGTCCCACGCTGGCCTCCCTGTGTTAGTGCTCGGAGCCTCGGGCCTCCTCCTGGGCTCCTCCCACCACTGCAGTGTGTTCTCACAGGTGACTGTCCCATTAAGGCCAGACGGGGTCAAGAGCCTCTTCTCTGTGATCTGAATATGACCCTAGACGGCCTCTAGAGCACCTGGCTTGAGGCTTGCTATTGCTCTAAGGGACAGGTCAATTGTCACCATGTCAAAGACCATGATGGATCCAGTGGAGCAAACTAAACCCGAAGGCCCCTCTCTTCCAGATAGCAATGTTGGTCTGGGGACGCTTTGAGGGGCAGTGTTGTGACTGTGCTGCAGTCCTAGCATCAGTGTCTTGTCCCTGCAACCCTAATACACACCAGGAAAGGGCTTTGCATAAATGTAGGAAACCCTTTCTCTTTTTCCTTTTTGTTTTCCTTTTCTTTTTCTCTTTTTTTTTTTTGGTGGTGCTGGGGCTGAACCCCGGGCCTTGTGAATGCTAGGCAGGCACTCTACCAACTGAGCTACATCCCCAGCCCTCCTTCTCCCTGTGTTGCCCAGGCTGACTTCAAGCTCCTGGGTTCAAGGGATTCTCTGCCTCAGCTCCCAGTAGCAGGGATACCACAACACCTGGCGGCTGGAGCCCTTTCTTGATCGACTTTGTGTGTCGCGTGCTCTAAGAGAGAGCATGTGTGTGTGTGTGGCTGGAGATGGAACCCGGGGCCTTGCGCATGCCAGGAAGGTGCTCCACCACCGAGCCACATCCCCAGCCAAAAATGGCGTTTTGAAATTATGACATTTCGAGGCTGGGGACGTGGCTCAAGCGGTAGCATGCTGGCCTGGCATGTGCGGGGCGCTGGGTTCAATCCTCAGCACCACATAAAAATAAAATAGAGATGTTGTGTCCACCGAAAACTAAAAAATAAATATTAAAAAATTCTCTCTCTCTCTAAAAAAAATTGTGATATTTCACGTACCTTTGAGATGCAAGAAAGTCAGAAACTCAATTAGTGTGCGCACTATATTGCTCTCAGGCAGCGACCTGTCAAGGCTTCCTAGAAAACAGAAAGGGTCACCTGTACCCTCTGTCACCCATTGTTAGGGATGTGGGCACCGCAAGGGCAGTGAGCAACCCAGGGCTAGAGGGCACCCCTGTGCTTTCCCTGGAGCCATGGAGGGGCTGGGCCTAGAAGACCCCTCAGCGCAGCCCCCTGGTCCCTGCAGCTGCTCCTGACCACACTCTGCGCCCCTGGGAGGGTGGGCGTGGGGGGGTGCTCCTCTCACCTGGCTTTGCTTCCTCCTCGGGCTGGAGCTCCCGCTTCCCAGCCAGGCCGTGCTTGTCACTAAGGGATCTGTGGGTGTCGATGGCATCTGCTTGCAGAGGAGAGAGACTGACCGCTCACTGATCGTGCCCTCCCCCCAAAAGGACAGCCAGACTGAAAGTAAGGCAAAGCGTGGAAACACAGAAGAGGGAGGCCAGGTGACGGGGCCATCTGCCCACTCATACAGGAGCTTCCCAAAAGAAGGGGGCATGCAACAAGCGGGCCACGCAGGACAGCCTGGTGCACAGCCGGTACCTTCCATGAGGACAACAAAAGACCTCTCTGGCAGCGTGTGGAGATGAGTGGAGCCAGAGAGAGGAAGGCGGCAGGGAGGGAGACGGGGTGTTGGGGCTGACATGGGATGGAGCTGAGCCAGTGGGAGGGGCCTGCGGAGGGGCTGGGTGTGGCTGTTCAGGAGGGGACCAGGTCCTGGCTACACAACCTGGGCCAGTCGAGGGGAGACTGATTCACTGTCCCGGAGGCAGGCAGGGTTCCTGGCACTGAGCTACAGAGGCCTGACCCCGGAGGTGTCCTCGCAGCAGTCCGACCCAGCCCAGGACCTGAGCTCTGACAGAGGGCTTGCCAGGCTGCCTCTCCTAAGCTGGCCTTAGCTCTCCTGGGCCCCAGAGGTCATGAAGTACCCGGGAAACAGCTCAGGTCTGGGGCTGCCTGCCTGGGAGTGGGAGAGGGTATCCATGGAACTAAGGAGCTGGCTAAGCTGGTGGGGGCCCAGTCCCCTCACAGTGTCATGTAAATGTCCTCCTTTTATGTGGCCCAAACTGGACATCCACGTATTAAAATGACCACCGGCCAGCAGGTTCCAGGGAGCGGGATTAACCGACCACCCCATAGCCCGAGGGTTGTCCCTCACTTACGCGGGCCCAGGAGGTAGCCGGCGCTGTTCAGGGTCCAGCCTCTCTTCTCCTTTGCCTTAACCGGGAGAAAGGCGGGTCAGGGGGGCCGGCCCGCGGAGCTAAGGTGACGGGGGCGCAGCGGGGCTCTCCAGGCCAGTGGAACAAAGGCGGGGAGCCCTTTGTCTGACGCTGACCCAGGGCGACTCAGCCTCCTGGGCTCCCAGCCGGCGCGGGCTGTGGCGCTCATCTCAGCTGAGCCGGACGAACCCTCTTCTAAGCCCCGCGCTGTCCGGGAAGCGGGGCCGCCCGGCGGGCACCCAGAGCGCGCACCGGGCGCCCACCCAGCGCGCTCCGCTCACCTGCGCAGCTCGGGGTCCCTTCCGCCGGGACGCGCACCTCCAGGCGGGCGGGCAGGGGACGCACCAGCCTCCACCCCGCGCTGGAGCGGATGCGGTTGCCCCTTCCCGCCCTGGGGGCCCTGTCCCCTGCACTTACCGGCGGCCCGAGCCCCAGCGTGGCCGGCAGCGCGGCGGCGAGCAGGAGCGCGGCGAGCAGCAGGGCGCTGCCTCTGGCCATCTGCAGCGGGGCGAAGCGGGACAGGTTGGCGCACGTCGGGGCGGGGACGCGGGGCCCGAGCGGACCGAGCGCGGGTACCTTGAGCGGCGGAGGGTCGGGAAGGGCGGCGGGGCGGGTCCGGCAGCGCTCCCAGGCGGCGGGGTCGGTCGGGGCGTCGCGTGGCCGGGGCTGGGCGCGGGCTGGCGCTCACCGCATGGCGCGTCCGGCTCCCCGACGTGATGCAGTCCGAGCCCCGCCGCTATTTATGCCGCGCGTGCGGGGTGCGGGAGCCGCAGCCACCACGTCACCGCCCAGCGCCGCCCCCGCCCCCGGGGAGCCGCGGGGACCGCAGTGACCGGAACTCCGCTGCTCTCAGTGCTGTGAGCCTGCACCACAGGAGGGGGCGGGAGAGCCCCTTCGTCCGCAGGAACGAACCCCCGAATCCGCGGGAGACACCCCCAGACCCGGGGCCCGTCGCGGTGGCTGAGTCCGCCCCTGTCGTCCCCCCTCAGCCCGCTGCCCCTGCCCCACATCCTAGGACCCCGGAGCTCTGCTGCAGCCTCCCAGCCTCCCTTGGGAGAGACCTCCAGAGGACTGGGGACTGCTGGGGCGACCCCTCTGCCCAAGCTTGGCCCATCTGCAGTGTATCCGGGGTGCTGTGAAGCGGCCAGGGCCTGTTCCCGCTGTGTCCCCACCCTGATGGCGGGGAGCGCAAGCTCTGTCCCCCTAAATGCAAGCCCACTGTTCTGCTAACAGTGCTGCCTGGACACCTGGGGCTGCGGTGGGCCCTTCCTGTGGCAGGGCACAACCGGCCTGGACAGCCCATGGCCCTATGGAGCAGCCACTCCTGGCTCTGGGTCCATTTGGAAGATTCGAGGGTTTAGTGGTGCTGGAGAACCTGTGGAGCCCAGAGTGGAGGCTCAGACTTCCAGGTCCCTGGTGGGCGTGGGCCTAGCAGCAGGAAAAAGCCTCAGGCACAAGCCCTGCCTCTTACCCACAAAAACTTCCTGAGTGGGGGCTCAGGGGACCACGGTGCCACAGGGAAGCCCAGGCTGTCCTCCCCATTCAGACACCAGGAGAGTCGGGTGCCACCTCAGGTGTCTAGAGACGGGGGAACACGATGCAAACACGCCCCACACTCCCTCGGCTGGCTGGATACCCCACCACCACTGGGGGCAAGGGGACGCCACTCTCCCACCCAGGCCAAATTTCAGAGTGGTCATCTGGAACCCCACAGTCACTGGGTTACAAGACAAATGGTAACGGTGACCAGGCCGTTCACCAGCGCCTCCCACTCTCTGGTCTCAAGAACCTTGTGCCCATGGCTGGGGCACCCCCTGGCAAGACCCGCCGGCCTCCACATGGGCGAAAAAGGACGTTGTGTGCCCCAGGATCTGGTCAAGGCACAGGGCTCAAAGGCACAGGGCTCTGGCCTAGGGTGCCAAGTGCCCACTCTGGGCCATGCTGGTTGGCGAGGGGCTCGGGTGGGGGCGGGATGACCTCGAGGTGTGCCGTGACTCCCAGTCCTCTTCCCACAGCCTTGGCCTCGACCCACAGGCTGGTTCTGAAGCCCACAGTTAACCCCACAGTGGCTTCCTGCCAGGGAGGGAAGAGGAAGTGAGGGTGTGGCCCTGGCAGTGGAGGGCAGAGGGGCAGCTGAGATGTGGACGCCAGGGTGGCTCCCTGTGACCTGCAGAGAGGTGGCCTGTGTGTCCCTGATTGAAGGGGTGTTGGGAGCTGGCAGGGGCTCGGGCCACAGGTATCCCCCTCTACCTGACAGTGATGGGTTGGAGGTGAGTCCTGCTGTCACTCTGTCCTGGTGTCCCAGAGCTCAGGACACCTTCCTTCTGTCAGGTCCCTCTTGCCAGGCTGCCAGATCTTGAGGACACATTTTTCTCAGCTTCCCTTGAACAGGAGGCTCTGAGCCTGTCTGGAAAGGCCTGTCCTCGGGGTGGCTGAGGGACGGGTGCCCCGCCTGCCCGAGGACCCTGTCCGGCTCTCCTCAGCTGTCCTGGCTTTGCTCCCAGGGCCGAGGTCGGAGCTCAGGGCGCGGCGTGCCGGGCGGGTGCCGTCCCTGGGCTGAGTCCCGGCCCTCCGCTGCCTTCCTTCGGGAGTTGGACTCTTTGTGTTTCCTTTTTGCTTTAAAAGAAACCCCAGGGTCTGTCTGGTGAGCGCCTTCCTGTCAGAAAGACGCGTGGCGCTGAGAAGAGAGGGGGAGCATTTATAAGAAGAGCCAAAGAGGGGTGCGGTGGTGGCGCAGCCTGCAGCCCCAGCTTCTCAGAGGCTGAGTCAGGAAGGTCGCATGAGCCCCGAGTGGGGGGCTGGCCCCGAGTGGGGGGCTGGCTTGGTATAGACAGAAACTGTGTTAAGAATAAGTGACTGACCAGTAAGAACCACCCTCAGCCACCTGTCCCCCCTTTCTCATGGAAAGTCCTATGCGGTCCTAGGCAGATCCTCTCTCGTCCCCAGAAGCCACATCAAAGCCCGTGCTGCACCGCCAGGCAGCATGATCAGGACAGACGTGCCCAGGCCACCTCCTCCCGCGTGCCAGCCTCTCCCACCGCCTGGGGTGGCAGCTCGGTCCCCAGGCCTCCCTGGGTGGTGGGGGATTCTGGGCAGATCTGGAAGGTGGCCGGGAGCCGGGCTGCGAGGCCCGAGCGAGCGCCGTGGGCACAGACGCGAGGCGGAGCTGGGAGGCGAGCTGGGACCCCGCGGAGGGCAGATCCGCTCGGGCGAGCGAGGACAGCACTTCTGGGATGACAGCTCCCGGCGCAGTGTTCTAATGGGCTCCTCGCTCCGCAGTGACCCAACGGGAGTCATTGTCAACCCGTCATCTTCAAGACAGCCCAGTGTGTGGCCGACAAAATGGGTCACCATTAGTGTAATGGGAAAAGAGCAGAAAGCACGGGGCCCGCCCTGCGAGCTGGATCAGCCTCCCCCAGACGCCTGCTCACCACCACTAGGAAAAACAGCCTGCAGCTGACGGCCAGGAAGAGCACGGGCCACAAGGGTGCCTGGCTGTGTCCCCACATGGGAGGTCACCCTCGCCTGACCCTAGCCCTGGGTGAAAGCAGCCGCAGACAGAACCCCAACATGCACCAATTATACGAACGTCCACCTGGTTATCATCAGAAGGTGGTACTTGGGGTCAGGAAGCTGGGCCTGACAGGGGAGCAGCAGTGGCCGGTTGAAGAGTAGAGCCCTACACATTCCAGGTTGAGGGGGTCACATGGTGGGCCTCTTTTTGGTCCTTCTCCTTTCCTTCTTCCTACTTCCTGGAATGTGGATATGAGGGCTGGAGGTCAAGCAACTGTTTTGGACCTCAAGGTGATGGCTTCAGATGACAGACAGCAAGACCAAGAAAGCCAGGTCTTGGGTAACCCTGAGCCCAGGTCCCTGGGCTGCTGACCCCCAGGCTTATTTCCTGACAGAGAAACACTCTTCCCTTTTAGGTAAGCCAGTGTCAGCTGGGGTTTCCTCTCATACACGTAATAATAGATATGCTGACCAGCGCCTCACACAAATCCCTCCACAAATCTTCTGTGAACCAGTGAGTGACACAGGCCAACACTGGTGTCACCCCAGTGCTGGTAAGGAGCTGGCCTGGGGAAGATGGGCTCATCAAGGGTGAGGCCTGCAGGGCACTGACGTCATCACTACTGGGAAAGGGAGGGTGGCTGGCTGAGCTAATCCCGCTCCCCCGGGACCCCGGCCTTCCCTTCCCATAGTCTCCAGCTCACCCCACTGCACCCAGCCTCACTCCGGGAACACAGTGGTCACAGATAAACCACCCCTAGAGACTGGCACTTGTGACTGAAGTTCAAGTCACGTAACTGTCCGTCCGTGTGTTTCTGCGTGTGTATTCCACGGTTCACTGTGACCTGGGTAGATGGGTTCACAGAAATGCCTGCCTCGCTAAGTTGCTTAGGGCCTCACTGAGTTACTGAGGCTGGCTTTGAACTCACCATCCTCCTGCCTCAGCCTCCTGAGCCGCTGGGACTACAGGCTGCACCACCGCACCTGGCTGGGTTGGGTACTTTTATGGAGGGGCTAAGATTGTAGGAACTGGGGTTTGGGATGCAAGCTGAGAAGAGGGGGGTGGGGACCACAAGGTCCAGAGGGTTGGGGATGGATGGCAAGAGAACCCCGCCTTTCCTGCAAGCCGCTTTGGGGAAGAAGTCCCCTCACTTAGCTCTGCATAGTCTTGCTGTCCCGGGACAGCCGCGGCCACACAGGAGGCTCTGAAATGGGGTCTTCCACTGTGGACTGTGATGTGCTCAACTGGGCTGTGAGGCTGGAGAGGAGGGCAGATGGGAGGCCCCGGGGGGGCTCTGCCTCAGGGAGGCCCTAGAGGCCACCTGCTTCATGGTGGCCAGTCTTTGTAAAATCTGAAAGCCGGGCCATGACCAGGATCAGCTGACCTCTGTCTTCCACACCTCCCCGGGTCTCCCTGGCAAAGCGGCCTTGGAGAGGCTGTGGGTACTGGCCTTCAAGGGAAAGCCCAGCTGGGCCTTGGTTCAGGTCAGCGGGTCTGGTCTATGGTACATGTCGCATGTGTATAGGCGAGTGGCCACAGCCATCCCAGCATACACCCAGTCTCGATCCTGACCCTGAAATAGGCCACAGGCCACAGAGCTGGGGTACAGAGCCTCTCCCCAAAGCCGTAGCCTCCCAGGGAGATGGGCTCAGGCACGATGAAGGCAGAGTCCCCATCTCCCAAAGGTGCCTGGTCTGTTTGGGGCTAGCAGACACTCCCCACGACGCTGTGGTCACTGGGCCTCACTTTAGGCCCCTCCTGGACACAGCTGCAGGGTGCTCAGCTCTCCCGACCTTCTGTGCTGAGCCCGTGGGAGCTGGTTCTCGACAGCCCCTTGCAAGTCCTGGGCTCCCTGGCTCGAGCGAGCCATCCTTGCCTTACAGGGCGGTGCCCCCCTCCCCAGCCCCTCCGCCCCCCTCAGCAAGCCACCCCAGCCCAGCGCCTGCTGCCCTGGGGCTCTGGGGCAGGGAAACCACCACTCCCAGTGCCGCGCCCACAGAGGACCCGCCCCACACGCTCTGCCCACCAAGGCCCCGCCCAAGCAGACACGTTGCTGCCCCTCCCCCGAGGCCATGGGACTGCTGTGGCCTGCTCCAGGGGTGGGCTCATGGCGATGAGCTTCCCCAGGGACTGTCCCTGACGGTCAGGAGTCTGGGTCTCCACTGCACCCTCGGGTGGCACACCCAGCAGGGTGTTCTCTGGCCCCGGAGGGAAGGGGCGACGCTGACG